TACATTTACACGATATCCATTTTGGGTACGGCACTCCTAAAGTTTGGCAAGCAGGCCAATTATATAGGGCGCGGCCCGCTTGATTTTTGCCGTGTAAAAACAATTGTTTTGGCCCGCTTGCTGAAAAGTTAGGCGGGCCACCACCTCAGAAAGTAGCCTAACTTTTTGGCGTAACAGCTTTCGCATTGGAGTGTCTTGTTGAGATATCTCATCACAGTCTCGTGGAGAATGTATATAAATGTTCCACGAGTTACTCTAAAGTTGGAATACCACAACTCAACAGGAAAAGATGCTTCGACCATGTCAAACCACACAAAAGAATGAGGATGCATCCATATCTCTCTTAAAGTGGTACTATGATCAAATTTTTACCCCTTGATTTTTTAGGTGTATCACATAGAATTCCATGAAAGAATGAAAATGCCGTTTCACCGTTTGCAAATATCTGAATTAGTTCTGGAGATATTTAAGTGAAAAATGCGTAAAATATGCGAATGAGATGACTGATGACGTCATACACTCAACCCAATATTATATCAAGTATATAAATAGAGCTATTTTGGCTAATTTGCAGCATAGACCATTGAAACTTAGCAGGCTAATAGTTCTACAGGAAACACACCTACAGCTATGAAAAATTATGTTCCCATGGCAACTCACTCTTTTCCAGTCCACACCCACTTGATTTCAATATGTTAGTAATCTAATACAAATTATCTGAGACATCTTTCTTCATATTTGATCAAAATTTGGATGAGTGCATGACGTCATCACTTAGCTAATTTGCATATTTTAAAAACTTGAATGTCGCTAGAGCGACAAGAGATATTTGAAAATAGTTAACAGCATTTTTCTTCTCTTACAGACTACTTCATTATGTTTTAAAATGGCTTAGATAGGAAAGATGCGATTTTCGTCATAGTACCACTTTAAGCGTGGAGGATTTAGACAGCTCATGATCAAAATAACTTGCAGCAGGCTGTATTGTCGCCGCTTTAATGCATGTAAGAGTGGTGTAAGGAACGACCTTGTTTCGTCCCTCATTTACGACAGGCGTTTTCGCTTTCTCAAAACAATAAGCCATACAATTGCTTTCTGTACTCGAGAATCTGCCATTTTTTTCGTTTGATCGGTCCGCGAAACCGCACTTGAAATCATATGTGAATCGCTGTCATGTAAGTGCAGGGACTCACGAATTTTAGAGTGCCGTTCTTGTTTCAGAGGTGCTGTTCAGAGATCAACATTGAAAAAACTTGAACATGTTTCGCCCTGTAAATTAAGCAGGCCGTGCCCAAAACTATCGATAACTATCGGCCCGCGTGTCTAAATTTTGGAGTGCCGTGCCCAAAATGAATGTCGTGTAAATGCGCCTTTTGTAGGCTAATTTCACTTGCCCACTGAGCCACCCAAATGCCTGTTTTCACTTACCCCCCGGAGAGGTAGTCCCTTATATGAGCTATAAAGGTATGTGCGGCCTTAAAGGGTATGGTTTTTACCAATTCAAAATGTCAGGCAATATCATTTCCATGATGTGGCAAAGTATGAAAAAATTTCATCGAAGGAAAGCATAAAAATTAAGGAGTTTAGGCCAAAATGAGGAATATATGTGCCTGTCATTAGATGAGATGTTGCCACGGTAACGGCCTTAATCCAAAAATTGACAACCAAAAAATGAGCCTTATTTTAATAGTGCCCATACTGGTAAATCTCTACAGGGAAAACTTAAAGAGAAATGAACTAAGTTTCCTCTTCTAACTCGCGCTCTATAGGGAGTGTGTTCGTAAATACTCCAGAGAGCCACCCACGGTCGAAAAATCGATTTTGCTCATACATTGTCAGTTTGAAGGCCTGGGTAAGTAACGGAAGGAAAACAAGTTACTTTTTTGAAATATCATATAACGGTAGAAATTTAAAAACTCAAATGTCGTTTAAACTCTCCAAGATGAGAAAAAATGACACCATTGAATGTTCAAGAGTCTTTATTCGGTAAGTTACCAATACATTGAATGAATTTAATGTCAACTCCTGATCTCCATACAAACTCTTATATTTTAGCCACAGTTCTCCATACAAACTCTTATATTACGCTTGTGTGACCTGTGGTCACAGTTGGAAAATTCTGCTTTCATTTTAGTCGTGTACTTAGTAACGTAGTTGATTACGTCAATGGCAGCCCAGCGCGCGCGTGGCGCTTAAACCATGCCTTGCGTGATGCGCAGAACGTGTGCGCACTAAAAGTACGCACCGTCCTTAAACGTTTGAAACGCTTTAAAAGCAGTATTTAACTTAATAGCCGACAAGAGTTAAAAAAAA